AAATTTAAAATTAAATTTGACCTTTAAACTATATCTAGTTAACCTTTGTACCTAAAGGCTTCACTTTCCTTCAAGTTTCTCGATCGTCAATCATAACAAATGAATTACTATTTATAACGTTCCATACAAATTATTCTAATGGAGAGAAGTAGCCTGTGTGTAGCTTTATCTCGCTTGGGTTACAGTGAGGCGCGATCTGCACAGAAGACAAAAATTTATTGTTTTACTGACAGCCACAACGTTTTCGTTGCTCTTCCGACCGGAAGCGGCAAATCGATTGCATTTGAAGTTGCTCAATTCTGTTTAGATAAACATCAGTTTGGCACTGTCGAATCAGATAACTTGAAAACCATAGTAATTGTCATCTCTCCTTTGCATTATGTTGCGTTGATGCAAGAACAAGTATCAAAGCTGCAGAAACTTGGACTGAAGGCATGTTATTTTTATGTGAAAACGAACACTATACCAAACGACGTTCAGCGAGGTAATTTCAACTGGGTATTCAGCAGTCCGGAAACCATTCTAGCTCACAGAAAACTGTTACTCTTCAAAGAATACAATGTTTACCTCATTATGCAGCGCTCACGCCCCCACTCCTTTTCTGTATCTGTTCAGTGATGTCACTGCATATCATGAATCAATAATAGTAGCAGATTAGCTGCAAATAAGACCAGTCTGTGGTGGTATCGTGTTCACCCCACCTTTTGCAAAACTATTTTTTCCATTTTTTTTTTTAAAATCACCACAGCTGGGCCAATCTACATATCTACCTGTACAGCGTCCTATGTATCTATGCAAGTTTCAATGAAATGTGATGACTAGTACCTGAGATATCAGTGGAAAAGCCGAAAATTATTAAACTAATCATTATGCAAATTAGGTTAATTATATGCGTAAATTTTTACCCAAAACTAATCACATCCGTGCATTAGTCCAGATCGTATGTACCATGTTTCATCAAAATCTAATGAATGGCTCTTTAGATATCAGTGAAACAGTCAAAGAACAGCTAAAAATTAGCTAATTAAATCAGGTAATTAATATGCATGGATTTCAACCAAAACCTAATTAAATCTGCGCATTAACCCAGAGCATTTTTCTCCAAGTTTCATTACAAACCAACATACAGTTCTTGAGATATCAGTGGAACGGACAGACAGACACACACACACACACACACACACATACATACATACATACAGACAGGGTAACTGCAAAGACTCCCATTGAGTGCTTCGCACACGGGAGTAAAAAAGTGCAGAATAATTTGGGTGAGAAAGTCAGGTGGCAAAAAGGTTAAACAGCAAAGTCAACTTTTGCAACCAATCATAGGCTCTGAATCAGTGTAAGTTTCAATTATGCTGCAATAATCTGCTAGTCTGTGCAATATGTTATGGTTCTTTACATGCACTGAGAACAGAAACAGCACACATACGGGACTGATTTTATGACTCCTTCAACTTGATTCCATATTCCTAACACTGAATGCTGTGAGCATGACAAGTAGGCAGTATGTACATATCTTTTTTCACTATTGATTGGGCAGTCAACCATGGATTTCAAACCTACAATCTCCCTGATACTGGACGGCACGCTAATATTGTGACACATCAGATTGATTTTTTTTCTAATAATATCACCTCTACTTACTTTATCTACTCTTCTCGACACTGCATCAATGATAGCCTGATCTCTGAGATGCTGATGGAATCTATCAAAATTAGTATGCCAATAAACACCATCATCTGGAAAACTCTGCAAAAAGTAGACTGAATTTAAAATATTAGAAGATGCAAGCTTTATAAAAGAAATTATGTATGCACACCCAGACAAGTTTGTAGCAACTTTAAATGAATTTAGTACCAATAACAGTACAGCAAGCATGTATGAATACATATTCATTACAATTAGATACAAAGTGAAATCTGTAATTGGTATTCCCATATCCCAGTATAGGGTCTACAAGTGTGAATAACTCTACAATATACATGTACCTCACTTGGATCTTCAGATGCAGTGGAATCAGTTCTTATTCTTTTTGTTCCCCTATCTTCATCTTCTGATCTTCTTCTTTTTCGGGATATACAACCTGAACACAATTTGAACACAGGTAAAAACTCACACAAGTAGTGATCACTTAAACTGACTTTCATGCTAATTAGAAACGGACATTTGATGGAGACTTTAACGACTTTACTTTACCTTCAATTTTCATTGCTTCAGGTATTTTGTATAAATCTTCTTCCTCAATTGCTGTTTCTGACTCTGTAACTGTTGAATCGATGTCTGATGGTGGATTCACTACTCTTTGGAGAAAATGGGTGCTCACCAAATCAATAAATTTATCCCGCACAAAACTTTCCTCTACCGTTCTATCTGTGAGAATAGTAGACAAAACATTTGAAATAATAGTTGCATATTATGACCAGCTTGTAGCATAGAATACCAGTTTACATCAATCTATATTGAATAAATACTTAACTTAGCCTTGAAAATTAACAAGTCACTGACATGACACAGCCCGCTGAAACTAGTCAGCCGTTTTTAATCAGAACCTGACTGATGTACAACTGATTTGTAAAGTTTAATTTGAGCAGGTTCAGTATAGGTAGAATTCTTGATGCATTTTGAGCTTTATTGACACCATTGAATCACAAACAAATGCTTGAGTATTTAAATGCTTAATCACCTTCTAACGCTTCATTCAATCTTTCTGTCACTTTGCGCACCACTTTACTCATCAATAATTGACCATTCTGTAAGATCTCTTCTACGATCAGTTCTCCTGCATCTCCATAAAGTGTTTTGACAGAATATATATACCTGAAAACAAAAATAGTTTAAAATCAATATTGAAAACACAGTCCAGTTGTTTTTCGGACAATCAGATATTTGAACTTGTGTACGCACACTTAAAAAAATAACAAAAGGGATATGTTTCATAAAATACAAACTTTGTTTCCAATAGGTATTTTCTTGTTGTCAACAGATTCAATGGATGGAAAAGAACCAGAAATTATCAGAAAAAACTAAATAATTGAATGAAATGTGCGTTGTTTGATTGATTGACAAGAGTACTATTTCTGATAGGAGAAACCAAAAGTATTATATCAAGAACGGTCAGTCACAGCGAGTCATTCAATGAGGGCGTACTACGTTTTTTTTACGTTATTTTAACCTAGATGCATCAAGTTTTTTCAAACCTGTGAGTACTTTGATTGTCTTTCAAAGGATTGAAATTTCCAAACTTAAATTCGATGAGTAGGCATGTACATAAGATGTTACTGGCTAGAATGGATTATGCATATGATTTACATAAAATGATACGCATTATACATTAAGTCTTCTATCCAAATAGTTCGGTGTTCTTAGGAATAGGAGTAAGTGACTAGCGCGAATACATGTGCAGTATAAGGACTTATGCCAGCACTAGTTCTGCAGAGTTACATACCTTGGATACCTTGACAATAGCAATACAGTTTTCACACTAACTTGGTAATATATTATACCACGTTTGGTAGACGTGAACTTTGCCATATTGTGCGTTATAAGAACACACAATGCTTTGCGTACCTGAAAGACAGGATGTTCAGAGATTAATGCTTTGCATACCTGAAAGACAGGATGTTCAGAGATTAATGTTTTGCGTACCTGAAAGACAGGATGTTCAGAGATCAATTAACCTTTTCATCACAAATTCACATAATTTTGTTTATAACCTGCACTTTCCTTCAGAAGATTGGGACATAAATAGCCGAATGTTTGAACTACAAACTCTGCAGTCTGCTGGCTCCAAAATTATGATTCATTTCGAGAAATATAAGAATATACAAAAAAAAAAAAAAAATATTGGGCTAGGTCTGATGGTGAAAAGGTTAATAGAATCCCAAACCACAGGAACTTAGGATGAGGTTTCATCTCGTATGTATAAATAATTAAATTCTGTACGATACATTTGAACCTAAATAAAAATGTAGTATCTTCTTTAAGGCAGAAGCCTACTCATAAATAAAAATACCTAAAGTTTACTCAGCAATAAATTGTACTCTAGGGCATTATAAAGACATGACTTAAAAAGTTGGGGGGTCACCACCCAAATTTTCGAGAAAATGATGGTTGTATTATAATGGATAGTGGCCATTTTGTCAGTATCATTACGTTTTTACTATAGGTTCTTATGCAGAGATATTACAATATATGCCATATCTCAAAATGTAGGTTGGTGACATACGTTGAAAAAATTTAAATATTGTGAATAAGAGCATAATGTCAGTCCTGAATTATTAAAAAAATCAGTGTTTTAAAACAGATCAGAAAATGCATTTTTTCTTTAATATTGTGTTCTGTGGAATTGTTCTAAAAATGGGGATTTTTGAGATATATTAAGACAAGTTTCTCAAAATACGTCACTGTAACACACAAAGAAATTCTATTCCACACAGCCATGGGACAATAACTCAATGAATGATTTCACACAATAAATCAATGAATGATTTCACACAATAAATCAATGAATGATTTCACACAATAAATCAATGAATGATTTCACACAATAAATCAATGAACATTGACCAATGTTTCTCAAATATCATGAGAAGGCTTCTACTTTAAAGCATATTCTATTCTATTTATATAGCTGGTACATATGTATAAGTTTTTAAATTTTCTTCTCTGATACATTTTTTTTATAGGGGTGAGGTTTCTAATGATAGCAAAAGTAAGGACTAGAAATTAGAGAGAATTGAATTAACAAATTATCATCTTATGAATAACTCAAATATCTATGCAAAACAATTAATAGAAAAATTCTAATGTTCTTATAAAATGTTTTGATGTACCGGTATTTGAGCATGGTCACTACAATTGATACACCATAAACCTTTGAAAGCAAACACAGAATCATTTTTACATAAGAAAATGTGCACGCACATGTATTAATTAGTGCTGCACAAAATAAAAAAAACATTATTTCATTCTAAAATTCCCATCATTACCCAGAGTTAGTTTATTATGTAGCTACTTCTTGGGTGCTTTAGTGTGTTCTACTTGTTTCTTTAGCATTATAAATGTAATACACTGAAATGGTGGGGAATTGTATATTTCAACAGCTTAGACTGCAAAAATTGTAAAGCTATCTCTGTGTAGCAAAAATAGAAACTGCAAATTCAGGAATGGTTTAATTCTCTGTGTATAATATAAACATATGATTTTCTCAACAAATGTGGTCAGTGACATCTAATTTTGTGAAACTTAATTGATCCCCCTTGATCAAATCTTTGTTAGAACAAATGTGAAGAACCCCCAAAACATGATTTATTTTTCTTATTTTGATTACAGGCCTAATTGTGTTCATTACCAGAATATTCAATAATCTGCATAGCGGTAACCATACTGGAATATCAAATGCTTGTACTGAATTTCTGAATACAGTTAGTATTTATATTGAAAGTATCTTTACACTATCAAAACAACAAATGTTTGCAGAAATTTTAAGTTCAAGAGATGGGTTCATTGCCTGGATCCCCATCTCTTGAACTTAAAATTTCTAAATTTATTACAGCATATTATTTTACTATAAGTAATTTTATTCAGATTTTAGTCTTTTATGTATTTTCTTTTCCTTTGTGTACTTTTGTTTTATTATATTTAATGTCTTTTAAATATATTATTTTGTGTCAAATAAAATATACTATATTATAAATAAATAAATACAGGTGGTGAGCTGTACGTGGAATCGTTATACAATGAAGCTAAATGATTTCACCAAGAGCTAACAATATCGGGACACAGTGTCGTATCCCCCCCCCCCCCACACCACCCACTATTTCGAATGGACCATGGTAAACCCTTGGAAAACCTAGAGAAAGTCACTTACCTGATCTAGTTTTAAGTTCGTATCTAGAGCGATTGCACGCAGTGCTTTCAAGCCATACTTTATCAAGTATGATCCGACCTTTTCCACAATTTCACCGTAGTTCTCACGCAATAATAGCGAAGCTAGTCGTATTTGTATGTTTGACATTTCACTCAACTGTGTTGCAAAAGTTGCATATATGCGGTCTGCTTCTAATAGCCTCACAACGCCGATAGTGTGTTTAACTCATCCGCGTTTCCGTAAATAGTACTATATCAATGCATGGTATATAGTTCACTATTTTCTACACTTACATATAAATAATGCATTAATGATATAATATTTTATTTAAACCTCCGTACTGCTCATCTGTTTATCGATTTCAACTGGGCGAAAGAATACTACCGCAGTTTGCGCAATGACATGATTGAAAGGTCACAGTGAGTTGGTTGAGGTGAACAGCTGATTGGTGAGAATGGCAACTCCGTCGAGTTCACGTGTTTGGGTTTATCTTCGTAAAGGAGTTGAAAACAAACCACAATTGGCGAAGTTTATACAGGTATAGTTAGTCCAGTGTTGTCATGAATAGACGTATACCAAATTGAATTGTCGCGTTCTTTGATGATTGGTGTATTATGGCAATGTACAATTTTAAGTTATCATGCAGCCAGCTGAGTGCGAAATTAAATGATCAACGAAACAACTTGTCGTTTAAAGTTTAATAAAACGTTTATCCGAAGATAAGTAATTAGATTTTAATCGTCACCCCCATAACCCTTTCGTTTAATATGATAAAATTAACATTACTGAAAGAAGCTGTCCTGTATGCGATATTGAAGATGAAGAGCACTTTCTGTTAAAGCGACGTGCCGCGTCCTGTTTGATATGGAACTCATAGCGACTAATACAACTCGCGTAAAATACGTTGTTTATTTACATGAAATTCGAACGCGCGCTGCGCGACGACCACCGCGCTTTAAAATGTCAGTTATACAAACGTAAAAGGCAGATCCTTCTCAACACAATTAGACAGTGTTCTGAGGACAACACTGATACAAGCTTTATCAACATACTATGCACAAAGAATACTGTCATGCTAAAATGTCTAGCAAAATACATATATGAATGCTTCAACCTAAGAGAAAGCAAATTAAAACAACAGCTGCCTCACAGATATCTAAATAAGTAACTTTCGGGCAAGTTTGTTGTTTTAGTTTTGTTTAGTTATTTTTTCTACTAGTGTATCTTCTTTTTTTTTTATTCTGAATGTTTCTAACATGGAATGACAACAATGCTTTATTGTACTTAGATCTATGTCCATTTTTTGGATACAGTGTACGACTTCAAAAAAGACTATATTATTATTATTATTATTATTACGATATTAAACAATTATTAATCCCCATTTGAAATTGTGGTTGAGAAAAATATATATATATGCTTGAGTGTGTCCCACAAAACACTTGATGGTTTCCCAAAATAGATAGGAAGCAGATCTATTGTCAATGGATCTTTATTTAGCGGTAAAACATACACGTCAAAATACACTGCTGACTAAAATGAGACTGAAATGTGGCGCACAACTGGCACATGACTAACTAGAAATTTGAAACAATGTAACAACACTGTGGCGCCAACAGGGACGCATGAAATATCAATGTACTAGTATTCAAAGTGAAAAAGTGTAAATAATTGAATGGAAATAAACGAATATTCGAACCCATCCCCGACAGAAATAAACATCTATAAAAATTTTGATATAAAACAAATTTACAACTTCATGAAATCTAACCTAACAAATTTGTTTTTATATTAAAGCAAATGTTTTTTTTTACTTTTCAGAGCATCTTGGATTTTTTTGGTTGCCATGGACACATAGGAGAAGTTAGTTGTGTGCTTGAAGACAACAAGTTAATAATTTCAGACAGTAATGAGAACCGTGTCTTACTTAAGGTCATTAATATGTTGGATTTTATAGCAATTTTTATCTTTATGCATTTAATTCTTTTTATTCAGAAATGTTATCCCCAACAGGAAAACACTTGAAATTCATGATTATGTCATACAGGTATCCTCATCCTATTGATTGTCATTGGTCATTAAAACTGATGTATGTGAAAAGTATGTCAATTTCATAAGGTAAAAATGAATTGCTTAGTATCGGTACTCCAAATCACAATAAAAAGCACGCAAAACACGGATTAGAAACATGAGTCTATGAAACATTGTACACGCGATACAAGAACAGGCAACATACAAAGTGGAAATGTACATGAAGGTACATAAAATGCAAACAGAACTAGTATAGTGGTTTGTACTGATAAAGAAGTCATGCAGTCAGCACCACTTTTGAATAAATTACATTTCCCATGTGACGATTTTAACTATTGAAGGCCTTCACTATGGTTGTCATTGAAAGTTTGTTTTAATTTTCTGCACTTCTTTTTAGTCCCTGTTCGATCGCAGTCTAAAAACGGGGACTTATGGATTGACCTTTGTGCATCTGTATGTCCGTGCACCTGTATCTTAGACATGATTGGACCAATCACAATCAAACTTCACACATACATCATACATAATAGTATACATATGCACATTAATTTGTTCCCCATTTTGATTCAAGATTGCTGAATAGTAGTCATTTTTGTGCTAAAAAATCATCAAAATCAACTTTAATGCTCTTCATTTTATTTTTCATATCGGATTTAAAATGGCCGACTGGCGGCCATTTTTTTTTTAATGAATGCAGTTTTAGTGCCATATCTTTGCCATGCTTTGATTATGTTTGAATTTTATATATTCATTATACATCATGACATAGATATATATATACTGATTCAAAATGGGCAAATGGCAGCCATTTTTGTGCTAAAAAATTAAGCATTCTGGCATACCAGAACTGAATCTTGGTGTTTATGGATGGATTTGGTACATACATTAGAGAATATTAGTTTCTGATGCACATCATTTAATTTTTAGATTGGATTCAAAATGGCTGACTGGCGGCCATTTTGTTTTAAGAAATGCGCTTCTAGAGCCATTTCTTTTTCTCAAATTTTATATACTAGTATTCATCATACATCATATTATAGATATATAGATGTATTCAAAATGGCCGACTGGTGGCCATGTTTTAATTAATGCTGTTCCAGAGCAATATTTCTCAATATGGACAAGTACTCGTTTGACAATCAGATACAAGATGTCGATCATTTTAATGTTAAAAAAATCATCATAATCAAGCATCATCTTCTGGATCCCATCTTGAATTTTCAAGGTGAATGTTTCGGCGAAGCACTCCACTACCACCTTGAAGTATTTCATTAGGAATATGTGTATGTGACAATGCCCTCACAGTTTGGAATCAGTTTACCAACAGCCAATCATATTGCTTCTTTCATCAACGCGCTTGGCCAAGCTATCAACATTGTCGGGGCATATGCAGGGTAATCTTGTTACACGGTTCAGGGGGTGTCAACAACCATCCCAAAGTACCGTTTTCTGAGAGTTTTTGGCCTTTGTTTTCACCATGATGGTTGCCAGGCGGTGAAAATGCTCGCACAGTGGAAGCTGTGTTAGCTTGCAGTGGATGTTGAGGCAATACAACATTCGGACAAAAGCCGTTCAGGGTACTTAGTTCGGAGTCTGATGTGTTCGTTTTTAGTCGCACTGGAAATGGTAAATCATTATGTTATTATGCTTTACCAGCCTTGCGACCATCGAGCGTGGTAATAGTGTTGAGCCACTGTTGAGTATTATAGAAGAGAAGGTGTTATACCTCAAAGTTCATGGTGTCACTGCAACATATATTGACAGAAATGAAGCCAAAGATGAAGACATCAGAAATGCAAAGCCCCAAATGCTTTTTGGTAGTCATTGTAACAAAGCTTTCTATTGGTCGGTAAACTTTCTATCGCGCAACCATCTGACATACACGGTTATGAATAGAATTACCGCACGGTGTTGTGGAGGGAGGAATGTTCGAACGGAGCAACACCGTGCAGGCAGACGATGCTGGATCCATACTCCTGACATGTTTATGTTCCAACTATATTACTATAAACAAAATTATATATCTTGATGTGACGGGGGACTATGTCATGCATGACTCGTTAATTGTTGTCTCTCGTAAAAATGACATTTATGAAAAAAAAATTTAACCATTCAGTGCCATCTACAAAATAATTTTGTACAGTCTGGCTGCTTCTTTTCACATGAAAAATTGATAAAAATTGACAAAGCTGATTGATCAAAAACTAAAAGCAATATCTTAAACAGTCTGTATCACCAAAAATAATGATGAATTTGAGTGGGAATAAATTTCGGGATGGGAAAAAACTGGTGTTCAAAGGTTTAATCTGACCTCTGAAATGTATATGTGTGAAAGTAAAGTGCCATAATTGTTTGGTGATTATTTATAACTTGTAGAGAATTCTATCAAATTCTGCATGCGATACAGTCGGTGTCATTACTGTGACCGCAATTGCATTTGGACATGTTTGACTTCAGGCAGAAAGTATAAATAATTCTCTGTTTTCCGGTAACACTACTACTTGCCCATATTTTTGGGGAAGTTTATTTATGTACTCAAATCTATTTATTTTTATGGAAATTAGCTAGGGGCATTTCACCTACATGTATGCTGTAATTTTAGATTCCCTTTACTACTTCTTTGCAGTAAATGACTACGGTAGCATTTGAGTATGGTTCACAAAAACCAAAGAATACAACTAATTGGGAAAAATTAAATAAACTAAAAGTACCCCCTCACTACCCAGTATTTGTTTTACCATTACCGAAAACACCAGATTTGATTTCAGTTTTTATTTGGCCTCAGTTGATTTTGTGATGTACATATAATTCACCCATCTAGCAAAAATACCGATTGTGATATATATTTTGCACATTTTGTATGCTGTCTGTGGCGGCTCTTTAATCGATCTGAAACATGTTTTCATTTATTCATAGAGACCATCATTCTGTCCAATTCATTGCATCAAATCAGATCAGATTAGTGCTGTATCTGAGTCAGTCCTGCAGCGTGGAGTTGATGTTGGTGTAGTTACGTTATTGAGAACCAAGGATAAGAGAACCCTACTTACGAGAAGAGCCCAACATCTGAGAATCTTCCCTGGTATATGGGTTCCTCCTGGTGGACATGTAGAGCTAGGAGAAAGTGTAAGTTTTTCAAAGTAAGAAATTATATCATAAAAGACCATTTATCCCCCGGTAATCCCTTTTGTGATAAAAATGGTCACGTTAATAAAATACATATAGTCCTGGTGGAATACTGTAAAATGACTAATTTTCACTGGGTTTAAATTTCGCTGATTTACCATTTCAGGCGTATTCAGTGGGTTTTAAATTCACGGTTTTATCATTTATATAATGTGTTCTATGCTAAGTTTTACATATTCACTAGGTTTTAATTTAGCGCAAAAATTTTTGGTAAAATTTTTGAGGTAAAAATCAAGGATTACAAAAACATTAGATTGAATACATGGTGCATCATTTGTTGTAGGAAATCAAAATTTCCATCAAATCTCAATTATTTGCAATGTTTTATGGCCAAAAAAACCTGATTTCAATCATGAGTTAGCACCGTGGAAAGGACGGATTTATTTATAGGTAAAATACCTTGCATTTGTCATTATGAAATCTGTTATATGCTAATCACCTATTTACAAAACATCATTCAGCAAAATCAATACGATAAAACCAGAATAAACTTCAACTTCAATGATAACAAAATCAGCTCAAAGAACACCATTGCAGGTTAACTCATATTCTGGAAGACATGGCAGAAATATTTTAAAACATTTTCTAAAACGTGCTTTCACAAAAAAACAAAATTGAAGTTTTCATATGATTTAAAGCAAACCAAAGAAATGATATTTTTTTTGTATTAAGCTATGACTGAATAATAGACAGTACTGTTACATCTACAGTAAAGTAAGTTATTTTTGTGTGTACGTCTACAGCTGTAGGAGATAGTTGCATGATGTTGGCAATCTTTCAGCGTCATTAACACCACAGACTGTCAGTTCAATGATTTTTCTTTCCATTAAGTAAAATCTATGTTAAAGTTGAACCAGTTTTTCCAGTTTTTTCGACTTTTTACAATTAACATGTTTTGCACCGTACTGTGAATACATGTGTTCAGAGACAAGATCCTATTTCCAATGGGCTGGAGCGTTTCTGTGTCCAGTGTAAACAAAGGAAAGTATTTGTGGGTAACGTCAATAACCTATCGTAGTTTACCATATATGAGGGGAAATTCAGCAATTCAGTTATGGAACAGCAAATTTTGTTTTCAATGTAGAATAAGTCGATATTACACATGGGTATTTTCTATATTTTATGCCCTTGTGGTGGGTAAGTTTATATCGCAAAACTAGGCATTGAGGTGTTCTTTTCGTCACATAAAACAAATTGACTAATTGTTATTGAATCGAACATTGATAGTGTTGAGGTCTAATTCAAAAAACTTGTTTATTTGTACTCAGCATGAACATCAATACATTGTACAGCAAATACTTCTTGATATAAAATATGGATTGTTAAATAATAGTTTCATGAGGAGTTGACATCGTAGAGAGCATAGGAAGGAGGGTGTGCGCAACAAGCATGAGGTTGCGAAGCCACCGTAGGAGGAATTACAGCGATGGCCTGAATCGGGCTTCTCACGACAGCGCTTTGCCTGGTTAATGTAGTTGTTGACGTTAGAGCGGCATTTGTCTCGGTGACAACTAATCGGAGAAGTGCCAAACATGTGTTGGTACTCTAGAATATATTATGCCAAAAAACCTTCCGAAAATAAAACAACGCTAATGATTGACGCATACAACGAAAACGTAACACTGTTGTTCCATATTAGGAATGACAAGCGACTAAGACGATACAGAACTTTAGCAAGAATTTTGGTGGTAAGCGACAAAGTATCATGACAACGCAATGGAATGGGAAACATCGTAGCGATTGTTTGGAGATAGCGTTGCTACAGAAGCAGATCTAGTCTCTCAGGGTTCAACTCGTGTTTATCAAAACAATGTCTGAAGTTACAAAACTGACTGAGAACACATCAAAAAAAGTGTAAAATTTTCAATGTTAGTTAACTGCGCGCGACAGCCCTCAAGTAACGATTTATGAATATGGCTGACAGTTATGCCATTCACAGTGTTGGTAATGTTTTCATCTGTAGTAGTCTGCCAGTACAAAACAATGTATTGAGAGATATTTGAATTGGTAAAGCTTACAACTACATCATTTCAATGTGTGCCTTCACTTGAGGGTACTATTTACAGCAATGATAAATTTCATGTCAATTATTTTTTGATCTGATCTTGATTGGCAGAATTCTATTTTGGTTTTAATCCTTTTGAGCACAAAAGTCAACATTTTCTCCATCACATATTTTAAACCCTTACAATTTTTTTTTCAAAATTTTGATCAAGATTTGTAGCTGGTAGTAAATTATGTCTATTTGGTTCAAAATTATCAAAAAAAATAGAAAAATACATAAAAACAAGAAAAATATACCAAAATGTTGTTAAAATTATGACACTCAAAGGGGAAAAAACAAACTCAGACATACAGTACCTGAAGAGTTTCATTCAGTTTTGGCTTGAAAATCGGAAAATAATAGATTGCTGATGCACAGAATTTTGTTCCAGTATTTGGTTGAAAAATGTCCGAGTGGCAGCCATTTAACTTTTTTTTTGCTGAGTGGCTGATATAATTTCCCCGATGTAACAATTAAAGAGCAAACAGTGAAATAAGAAAAAACAAAACTCAGCGAACGAGTATCTTGTATTTTATACAGTATGAACATTTTTAATCTATTACACTTTGGTTTTATGTTGTATCAACCTTTTCACCACCAGTTATCTCTTTTTATTACAAATTCAACAAATTGTCCATCAGAAGATTGGAACAAAAAATAGCCATATTTTTTGAGTAAAAACTGTAAATAGACTTAAATTTTGTCAGTGGGTGCAAAAATTGGGGTTCATTTCCAGAAATATTGAAGAATATAAGAAAAAAGTGCAGAAAAGTTTGGGTGAGAAAGTGGTGAACGGGTTAAGGCTGACACAGCACAGAACATCTTTGTATTAATTAATCATTTCAATGTTATAAACCGACCAAACCAAATATAATCCTTGTATCAAAACATATAAAACTATGCAAAATTAAAATTCTAACCCAACTTCTATTTATTTTTTTGAGTTAGTTATTTGAAGCTGGTCTCAGAGAATTACATGAAGAAACTGGTCTCTCACTGAATCCCAAGGAATGCCCTGGCAAAATAATTTGTTTGTGGGAGGTGAGTTGTCTGCTAGAATTATATTGTGGCTATGTTTGATGCAATATGGATAAAAACATTTTATTAAATTGTTATTTGATAATCAAAGATGATTAATATTATTTTATCATGAAGTAAATAACGGTTGTACTGATTTATTTGATGAAACAATATAAATCTCTTATTCACGTGGGCACTGTATGTTTCATTAGGCACAATAATAATCACTGCACGTGGGTATTAGTGTTTTCTGTTGAATGATTACTAAACAGTATTAGTGTGGGCTGCAAAAGTAACATGATAATCATAATGAAATTTGGTTATCAACATGCAGTATGAAACAACAATGTTAATAGTATACGATAATGATCATAGTACCGTTAGATATAATGTGTACTGGGGTCAGTCAGAGCTATGACTGTGTATCATCATAAACCCATGGCACATGATGCCATCGTGCCAATGTGCTTGCGATTACTCCATTCAGTGCACGTCCCCTATTGGGACTATTAATTGTATTGGCTTGTGCAATAGAGAAACAGCTTCACAAGATAAGACTATTATAATATTTTAGCATCATTGTACATTACAAATAACAACAAAAATTAAAAGGCCTTTCAATGGGCAAAGACATATTTCGTTTAACACAAACTGTGTTCTAAGCTTGTTCTAAAATTAAAGGGCTATGGTCGTGTTCGTTATGGGACTCATAGCGACGTATACAACGCATGTAAAATACATTATTTATGTACATGAAATTAAAAAACAAGCTGGGCGGCAACACCTGCCCTTTAATATTGATTGTTTTTGTTTTTTTGTTTACATATTTTGTTAGAGTATGTTTTTAGGGTGTGCCCGACAAAACAAATTACAACAAGTGACAATATTTTTATAATCTGTTTATAAGTTCCTGTTTGGACGAAGTCTTTTAATTTTATAATGTAGATGTCAAGTGTAATTCACAGATAGATCACCATTGTTTGACACCCCCTGCCATGTGAATTTAAATTAAAGGCATGACAAATGTTAAATTGTATTCAACACATTATTTTGAACTGATATTTATTAAAACTGCAAATTTGAAGATACTGCCTTCATCATTTTTTTCAACACAAGAGGGCGCTTGACTTGTAGAATGGGTCTATTAGCCACTTTAGTCCAGAACTAACAATACAATTACAAAGAGTTGCAATTGCTGTATTCCCTATCCCAGAATCTCAAATTCGGTCATTACACATATGTTTACATTGTAAGCCCCATGTAAAGATTTATTGTAGGGCACCATGGCAACAAGTATTCATATTCATGAGATGTATGGTAATGTAATTTTAGTGCCTCATGTCGATCCTCAGACTTGCATTTTCTCAAACATACTTTAAACAATTTTAGAAGGTGCAATAACATAGACATGCACCTCAATTTTTTTTCACTTTCACTTGTCATCTATGTTTTTCTTTGCTATGTCTTAAACTGGAGGGGTCATCATGCAACACCTGTTAAAATTTGATGTAAATAAATAATCTGCTGTACTTGCCACTTGGGACTCAAGTTTCAAGGACATGCTCTCAACAACGACAACCCCTCCGCTTTAATATTACCGATACACTTTAATATGACGTCAACAATTTAACGGGACCAAGTCATTTTCAATGACTTGTTGACTATAAATTGTGTTTATTATTTCAGTCTGTCTATCCACCCTATTTATCCAGAGGTTTACCAACACGACATCATATAATTGTGTATATGAGCATAAGTGTAGACCAATGTCACGATGACCTTGATAAAAATATCCATTTACAACGTAGTGAAGTAGAAGCATCTGCATGGCTGGATGAGATGACCGTTCAAGCTATTGTCGCTACTGATGAAGAAAGTGCAATAGAAGCAAAGAAGTGCAATTTACCAGAAAATTTTCTGTGAGTTGATTTATCATTATATTGTATTGTTATCTATTTGGTTTGCAGATACCTAGTAGTTGACTTAAAGTGCCTGTGAAATGGCTGCTATTTTGTCTCCTAAAATCATTCATTGGTACATCAATATATTATTAATTTTTATGTTTATAAGCATAAATTATTTTTTTAAGTGAAAAAATGCGTTTTAAACTCAGTCTAATGCAATTTGATTTTTGTGAATTTTAAAACGAGGCTCCTCATTAGCTTCTCATTTGCATACAGAAATTCCCCTTGTGATGTCAGAAGGGGAAGTTGCTGGGCAGCTTACATTGCCAATACATGTAAATAAGGCAAATTGCTTGTACTAAATGTGCTTGACTAAATTGCCACTTATGTACTTGTTCGTTGAGGACAAATGAACTATAATAAACACATAGTATCAAGTTTGCACAACGATCGAGTTGTTAAGAAGTCGTAATACATTGACAGCCCGCGTCAAGCTGCAAGTAACAAGCGTGTGAATTCAAAATTCAACTCCATTTACCGAACAATTCAGAAACTTTTAGCCTGCGAAAATGAAAACAATTAGCAGTGTGTAAGGGCTGCAAAATTTCCTGTTTGTCCGACACTTCGTTTTGCGTCAATATCAAAATTATTGCCATCTTTTACATAACACAGTCTAAATGGTCTCTATAAAGTGGTATTTAGAATCGCAAAAAAAGTCAAGGAATCTATTTCTTTCAAAAGTGTTGGTGTTGCGCCAGGTTTAAGTTTTCGGCGCTTCTCTTTAAACCTAGTTTTTTTTTTTATGAACAAGGATAATTTTGCAAAAAAAAAGAATCTGCAGTAAAGTGAACACTACATATGACGCTGTATGGAGGAGGGCCATCCCAACCTTATCCCTGTTGCTTTCACGGCTGCCATCCACTGACATTGAACCGCAAAAAATGTATATCATTTAAAAGTAACTGTAAAATACTTTATTTTTCGCTTGGAATTAATTTTCGCTATTTTCACCAAAGGAATAATTCAGTGAAAATAAAATCTAGCAAATATACTTTTTTTCCTATATTTTACATTCAACTCATCAGAAATCAGTGAAAATAAATTCCATCTAAAACACCCAAAAAATCTTTTCAGCGCAAATTAATTCTAGCTAAAATAAAGTATTTTACATTATGTTGAGAAACGCAGTGTACGGCTCAGGAGTATGGCTTTCTCTAATATTTTGGCATTTGGTGGCGCACTTTTGGTGAGAGTCGGAAAAACGGAAAAAGTTGAATACTAGTAATCATTCTCAGCAAAAAAATCAATAACTGCCCAATTTAGTGGAACTCAGATCTAAAATGGGAAACGTGTGGGTGGGCATTTCACAGGCACTTTAATTTGTTTGAAAAAAACACACACACATCTGTCGTATAAACGTCGTAAGGTCAAATAAATTTGACTCCTGTTTACAATTCTTTTTGAGTAATTCAGTACTGTAAAATACAGGAGTGGTTCAGCAAAACACACGATTTTTGCATAAATGTTACATCCACCATCTCAACCAATATGTGTTGTACTGTATAACAGCAATATTTTTCTCATCTCTTATATCATTTGTAATATGTCCACTCTGAACAAATGGATATATTATAATATTTAATGACTTTTTTATATACTCATTTTCTTTGATATATGTAGGGTGGTACCTTGGGTGAACCTCTATCAGATTTGTTCATTTTATGATGATACCTTCTATTTTCTAAATGAATGTTTTTGTCATGCTTTCATAGGTACAGATTTTACCATCATTATGCATGATTATGTTTTCAGAGAATCATCACGAAGAGCGGAGATATATCAGCTTGTTTTAGCTTGTCTACTATATTACCGGTATATAATCCAACCAAAATCAGTGCATGTTTTTTCATGTAAATTGATACTGTTACACTATGCATGTAGGGTTGCATATTCAGTTCATGTCAGATCATCTTTACGTCACAGTATTTGCATCTCTTTCAGTGCCACTGTGCTAGGCGACGATTCAAAGCAACACCACAAGCAGTTGAACACTTCTGTTCTTCTCAACAAAGCTCCTTTGTCTGGTAATGATACTGAAAGGATCAGCACAGGAACCAAATTTGCATTATCTCAATGGCTGGATTTTAACAAGTAACTTTAAAACATAATATACATGTACATCAGTGGTGCAATACATATTATTATTATACATCTGTCAGCATAACGCCATAAGTTACAGTGTGCCGTAATTTTGTGTTTTTTTACAGGGTATTTTCATCCTACCATATTAGGAAATGCGAATTCCAAATATGGAATGATTATGCGTGTAAGCGTCCTCTAACAATAAAAACAAACATGGTTTGACCGGACTCCATACAAAGAAGTTCGCTGATTCTGTTCTAAACTTTTGGATTTCGGCATTCCCATGATGTATCTTTGAAAGGAAAAGATGTATATAATAATAAGGTTATTACAAGAATACCTCAAGAATATCTCAGACAGTACGCCGCGCATCAACCTCTGCTGCGTGTTGGTCGATACTCCCGCTGTACTGTCTTCGAGCATACTTTGAGGTATTCTCGTAATAACCTCATATTATCTTTTTAGCTCTTGTGTATGCTTAGCTCAGTCTTACATGGGTACACTTATGAGTGTACTCTCAGGTCACTTGACACACAGTCATTACTTGAACACTTTGATGTGTATTAATAAAGCTCAATCTCTGAGTTGACTCAAGAGCCATCAATGCTGGAACGCAGATGGTACGACGCATGATGAGACAATTCTTGTAAATAGGTTGTATCTGTACGTACAAATGTATCAAAATCAAGCGTTGCTGTTAATTATGTACATGGGTATAATTGGGTATGTATTGAGTAGATTATGTTCTAATGGGGGTACATTACTAGAATGGCAGATGGTAACCTATGTTAGTTCTAGTTTTCAACTTATATTCATATCGTTGACATGCCTGGCCTGCATTTACTCTGATTTTACAAGTGTTTATACATATACTAGTAGTACATCATAGAACACATACATATTTCTATAGTGCAAATTGCCTAATGCCATTATGGTAGGAATATGGTCACATATATTTGCATATATTTGCAAAGAATGACTATACCATAAAAATGAAAAAGAAGAATGAAAAAGCGACATACTATTTTAGCGAATTGTGGTAAATGACGTAATAGCGAAATGTTGATTTAGCGAATCTCTCTTGTCTGTCTGTTATCACCTTCATAAAAACAAATAAAAACTGTCAAGTGTAATAAGGAAGCACTCCAGATTATTTTATAGTTTTCTGTGTTGTTTACAAAGTATGTGTGTGGAGAAAAAAACGTTGTTTGGCTGCCATTTTGAATTTATAATGAAGTCATAAGCGAATTAGTTCTCTAAGACATGCTCATTAAAAACACAGTTTTACAGTATGTTAACACACTGGCAATCATCAATGCCAATAATCTTAACATAAGTGAACAAATTGCAAACTAAGCAAATGTACATATAAACTGTTTTCAACCAAAAATTTTGTATTAATGATATTACATTATATTGTCGCACTCATTTTCAATTGTACTGTATATTGATAATATTCTTATTTGAAAAAAAACTTTACACATGAATATTTATATGATCATGCATTTGCTGATTATTAATGGAATAGACGCTCATATTTAAAAATCTAATCACAGTTTTCATAAATATCCTAATTGTTTTGTCAGCTGAAACACAAATTATAAACAATTTGTTGGAATACATGTATATGAACTTCAGAAAGTTCTAGCTTGTGTGCAACTATAAATTGCTATTAGTCTGCGGTGTATAAGTGAATCCTGTCTCTCGATTATAAGGAAATAGCACAAGGCAAGATTTCTCAGGGAATTGAAATAAATATGCACTATTCTACTGTAAAATTGTGTATGTGTTTCATATAATGTATGTATTGTGTATTTCTTATAACTTTCTTGTGAATTTAATGGTAATTTGCATACAAAGTTCTTCAAATTGTACTTGTTATTTGCCAAATGTGGACTTTATATTGTTTTCACAGTTTATATGTACCTGTTAATATATACTTATTCATTTAGTAACTAGGAAACACTTGGGGAGCACAGACCTCCTTCCTGGAGCTCATTTCCCACATATTGTGACTTACACCTAAAATTAATGCCCCGATACTTTTTTATTTTATCTACATTCTTAGATTAATTGACAATAAAAACATACACTCTGCACTTGAAATTATATAATTGCTATCTCCATGAAATCTTCACTAACATTGATTGGATTGGCTATTGCATCATACCCAAAATTGCTCTTTTAACATCTCTACCAAAATCTTATCGAAATTGCTGTTTCTATAGTACAAGGGCAATCCCTCCTGGAAGTGTAATTTTTTTGAGCTGTACCGCAGACACACAAACCAATGCTACCATTTGATTGAGAATCTGAATGATATATTGTGGTTTCACATAAGTGCATAATGTTCTTAGTCAATTCAAATCCCCTGACATCACTTCATGCTCACCATGGCGACCTATGTATCTTTCTTACACTCTATTGTTTGTTGTTCCGCCTTTTGTATTGTGCTTTTGGATTTGTAAATTTCCCATTGATTATAAATTTGGTTACTGTGTATATTATTTCACCATTTCTTGGTGTATATATTTAAAATGAATGATTCGTCCAACTTGCATTGGATGACAAAACTCCATAAAACACCGAAAAATGCTAGACATGTTCCAAAAGAATTTTGAGAAAAAAGATAAATAACTTTCAACTTTAATTAAAGCTTCCATCCTGTTTTCCACTATGCCACATGGTAATTAAAGTTATGCATTAAAGGGCTATAATCGTCGCGTTGCGCATCTGCGACATTTGTGTTGATAAACATTGATTTTCTAATAATGCAGTGCACTCCTGTATTAGAATTCATAAGTATGAGGTTTGACCTGGGAGCGACTTGAACTAATTACAGCCAGTGACTCCTTTGATATCGCCTAAAAATGTAAA